TAAATATTGATTTCATTTCTTTTTTTGTGGTGCACAAATTTATGCACCTGCCTGATTTGGTTTAAACAATTATTGCACACTTTCTGTAAATCCAATAAACTTAATTTCACTTCTCAAATATCACTGTGTGTGTCTCCCATGTGATATATTTAACTGACATTTTTTATTGTAACAACCAACGACTTATACAGGAAAATGATGACTATTAACAAGGTTGCCCAAACTTTTGCATCCCACTGTCTGTAGTATTTATTAAATAACTGTGTCCAGATCTGACAGGGTGTGAGCGGTTTTACAATGATTTACAGAACAAACTCACCATGATGCTCACCTGCCAACACAGACACCGCCAGAATCGGGATTATCAGATAGTGCTTAACAGCCATTTTCACAAACTGAAATGACAAGAACAAAGATTAACACTCCCGATTTTCTGCCAATGGGCATTTTTGTTTTTTGCATCACTGTATAAAATATAATTCTCTATGAGAAAAAAAAAGTTCAGTTCAGCAAGATATTCCACCATGCTTTTTCATGTCAGAAAGCTGCAAATAAAGCTATAAAAGAATAATGTTCCACGCGTGAAAGGGTTTGCAATATTTTACCAAGTGCTTAAACGTAAATATCACAAAAATAGTATTTATTGCAAGCAAAAGTAATTAAGTTACTAAGCTTAAAAAAAAGATAACTTGTTGGTCTATAATATGTGAAGCACATGTCAAATGTATCCCTCATGAATGATGTCAAGTCATTTTAAGCCACAAACAACATTCCGATAACAAGGTAGAAGCTGCAATCAGTTTTTGGCAGTGACTTGTGAAAATGTCGCAGCTGAACGCAGCTTGATAACAAATTATCAACTGCAATAAAGAAGTAAAACTTTTAATACAATCCTTTTTTCGCACGCACGAGATCGGGGTAGGATCAATTAATAGGCGTGATGAATACCGGTGTTCCAGATCTACTGGCGTTTAGATCAACTGGCGTTGGTCGAACAGATGTGTGGCAG